GGAATTTTTTTTAATATAAAAAAAGGGAAAAACCGTTTATTTCAATTATTAAACATAAAATATTTCTTAAAATGAAAAAAAAGTAATCGTTTTAAATGAAATTCGTGCTTAACTGTAAAAAAAAAAGAGATAATTTTAAAACCCACTTAATCCCAGAGTTGAAAGAATGATTACCAAATATACCTACATATTTTTGTAATAACATACTTCAAAAAATAAAGATGACTTACTTCAAATTCAAGACCTTTGGTCTTATCAAGTGACAAATTTCTTTGTTTTATATTCTATGAAAGAAATTTCTGTCTGTATGTTTCGAGATTATCTTAACACGTTAATTGCCACGCAGGTTCCTGAAGTACTAACTAGACTTTCCGTTTTCTTAGAAACCGGCGGTTGATTTTTGCTTCAACCTACGTTGTCGCGGCGGTTTGATTCTTAACTAAAGGTATTAACTATGGTATAATAGAAAATGTAATAAAAAATATTTTATTAAAAATTTATGTAATTTATTAAAACAATTTCAACAATAAAACGGTTTTTCTTTGCACGCGCTACAATTAGGTGCTAATTTTTTTATAAAATTTCTTGCCAATTTTCTTTGATACATTTTTGACTTACTCTTACATTCTGAGCAGTATCTCCGTACTTTGATTATTTTACCTTGTTTTCTCTCCAAATGATGAAATTTAGCACTTGTGGATGTTTCTGCTTAAGAGAACGAAACTGTGTTGTCTCCTGATATAAGATGAGTCTTTACTTATTTTCATTATCATTTGCTTATGTTTAGCTCACGCGTTGAGCGTATTGCATCTCACCAATTAATAGTATTGTGTAGGCGAACGTGAGGTAAAATCGGCGTGGCAGTTAACGTTATAACCGATAAACTACAGTATTGCTAAAAGTATTTTGCTGTTATCCACAAGATAATTAAAATTTTTCAAAAAAGCCTCACACGACAATATTTATGCTTTTTCACTTGAAGAAACTATTCAACGGCGCAAACAGAAATAGTACATTAATCAGTCACAGAACGTGTTGAAACGCAGTAGAAAATGTAAAACTTACATTTAACTAAAAACACTTTTCAAATTCTTCTGATTCGACGCGAATAACCGATTCAAGGTAACAAGTCTCTGACGACATAAACAACGACCTTCCCCATCAATGCGAGTACTTATCAAATTTAGTTTTTCATCAATTCATTCCGTACATAAAACATATCAAAATTTATAAGTCGTACTTTGTTTGAAAAACAATCTCAAATCTAAATCCTACGTCTAAACTAACAGAAAACGAGTATCAAGTTTTTTTTAGAACAAGAACTAGCATTGACAGAGAGATCGCTCCTCTCTCTCCGAAGTTACCTTGTTTCCCGCGTTGGATCACCTTTTCTAGGCGACCATTTCGCGACCTAACGTTTCTCCTTCGAAAATAAGAAAAAAAGAACACGACAAACGGAAATCCGCGATCGCATGAAATGTTACCTTCCCTTTTATTTTCCTACTCCCCTTTGTATATCACAAAACTCGTTATTACTACTAATCGAAACTCACAATAGTCTCTCCAAAAATATCTCTCCTTCTTCGTGCCATTTTGTTTTAAGAAATTTTCTTTGATCCTGTAATTGTAGTTCAAATTATGAAAAAATTTATCAACAAAATGTTTTCACATCGAAAACTCGATTTCCTCATTTTTCAATGCCATGGCGTTCTATACGAAACTGCTTACTCTATGCGAAACTCTATACTACACATCTGCCAACAGCTGCAGTTATTACGGCAGATGCATCAGCCAACATAACAGCTGCACGTATCTACTGCTTTTTTTCTTTTCTCTTTTTTTCTTTCTCCTCTCCTTTTATCTTCCCTTTCACACATTTTCGTATCCGAATCAACTGAACTGTCTTTTATCTTTTGAAATTCATATTTTCTCTAATAAATAGCATAGTTTTCCCACGTTTTAAGCAAACAACATTAAATACGATTTGATTAAGTAAATTTTGAGCAATATTGACAAGTCGTTCGATACATCATTAACTATCAATTCTAAACAATGCTTCTGTAAAAAGTTTATTAAATTTTAAGGTAACCAAATATAAAAATATTTTAAATATGCTCTACTTCTGTAATGTCTAATAATCTTTGTCATGTACGACAAACTGTATGTAATGTATAATTACATATAATCTGTTATATTTTCATTACGTAAACTTTAAATTATATTATATAAACTCTTCTAGTATTACATCATCTTATATAAAGACAATATGAACTCACAGCTGATTTTCAAAAAAGATGTTAAATTCTATTATACAATTTATGTGTAATATTTAAAATTCATGAAAACATAATTTCCTATTTTTTTAATTGTTTAAAAAAAAATACTCGCACTAAAGCGCGTATATATTGTGCATCATTCAAGTCACTTGAAACTGCATAAAGCACAGAAGTACTCTACTACTCACTCTCTCCACAAATGTACTCATGTATACGTTTCTGCCTACACAATTGTAAAATAGGTTTCTACACTGCAGTTTGCGAATAGTTTGCAAACTATATTCACCGACAATATGAACACTTTTATGAACAACAGTATGAATCCAACATAAGGAGTTTTCATATCTACAACATGTGATATCCCAACGTTATAATGAGTATACAAAATATTTTACAAAAAAAATTACGAAAAAAACTCATTTATAAATAAATCATAGACACTAAAAATCTCTCAAGTTATAATAATATGGAATTCAAATTAATTCCTTTGTTTAAAATATTGATTAAAAATAATTGATTCATACGAGATTGTATTTAGACCAACTTCTCTTTTTTTCTAAATATGTCATAAAGAAAATTCTTACATTTTATAAATAATAATAATTAAGCCTATGTAAACGCTTTCAAGTTCGAGCATTTTATCACTTTAACTCAGTCAATTTTAATATAACTTAAGTCAATATGAATTAAGTTCGCTCTCCTCGAGAGATAATATTATTCCATTTGTAGATGTTACCATTTCACTCAACGTGTCTTTTATTTTTAATATTATATTAAAGAAAACGATTATTATATAATCAATCAAACTCTTCTCACGTATTTTCTTTTGAATGATGCACAACATGTACATATGTGATTATACAAATTGACTTGCAAAATGTATAGTTATTCCACTTAAAATTTTTTGTTTCGTCTTTATACGTCAACTATATAATTGTATCATGTTATATACATTTTATTTTAATTAGTCAGTAAAAATAAAACTTAAATCAATTTTTGATCATAATAGAAATTAAACATTACTTCTTAGTATACGTAATTGCAAACATACTTATTATACGTAACTTCATTCATTCACTAAAACTTGATTCTATACAGCTATAATACTCTACAGTACTTGTAACAGATTTCCTGTATTTTACAGATTTTACATTATTTTGGGGGAAATTCTTTAGTTTTTGAATTTTGAATTTTTTGAAAACAGTACTGCTTTAAGCTTTTGTCGCGAATACGTCTTTTCATATTTAATATTGAATTCATTACAAATTATATCATACAAACATTCAATGCGTATTCAGGTGTAACAATATAAAAATAAGTGGCAAATAATGCAATTGTTAAAATAACATAGTTAATAGACAAGATATATAAGATATAAAACAAAATCAAAAAGGAATATTTCTATATTATCTATCAAACACAAAGGATCATTTATATTCTTATATTTAAAATTTTGAAGAGATACCTAGGAGAGACTATCTACCCATTCCGCGCATAACTCAGCGGTATATATTATTATGCGTAATTATATTCGATTTTACGTAATTTATTCGATTAAATGTAAATATACAAAAACGAAAATGTAAAATATCATTACACCGAGATCGCGAATTATCTTGAATAACGCCTAAGATATTGTACGTATTTTTTTACCTATTATTTTCTCCATCTTTTTCAACCTTTTATTCTCTTTCTCATACCTACTCCTCCCGCCATTCTATCTCATTCTCATGAAATTATTTTCTTGTATAAAACATATGAGAAACGATAACTAAGTAACGTGAAACTAAACACAGGATAAATAAGATACAGTACCGAACATTTTAGAAGGATGCATATACATACAGATGTGTATGCATATACATAACAAGTACTTCGTTACGCATACGATATGAAAGTATGGAGTTTCGTATTTCCTTTGGTCGGTGGTCGCGACGGAGAGTTCTTCAGCACGTTCGAAGTTTTCCTCGCAGAGGAGAGAGAGGTCAAGCAATATCGCGTTGCGAGGCCAACGATAAAGACTAGCCGCAAAACAAAAAGAGAACAGCAGGAAAAGGAAATAGCGTAAATTATTAAATGGATAGTGTGCCAATATATCTTGCACCACCGACCAATAATCATAAAATATATTAAAAGACGACAAAAGATCCAGCGGAAGTAACACAATGGTGGCGAATCCTGTGTTAACCTCGTAACGTGGTATCGCGATAAAAGTAAGAAAGTAGAAAGAGATACAAGAAACTTGGAAATTAACGAGGAGCTACATGCTCTGTATAGGAAATGAAAAAGCTCTTTCAGAGACCGTGCTACTCTTGAACGTACCGGCTGCTAGGTTGAACCACGTTATTCGACAGTGAAAAGAAAATATAAGTCCTGTCATACCTGCGCAATAGGCACTTTTCGCAATTGAGCGCCTTTCGTGACACGAATCATTTTTGTATATTCTATAAAAAAAAAAATCTATACAGATCCAAAATTTTATATCTAGGCATACTTTCGCTTCATTGTCCATTCAATAATGAACGTAAATGTACAAACGTATTACGAACAACTCATAAATACACTCATAAATCCCAATTGATTTTATATACCAACTTGAATATATTCAGCTGCTTTCATTTTGCATTCAATATTCAAACGTAAATAAGAGATAGTTGCGCCAAATACGAGTGCCTATTGTTACAGCGAACAGGATCTAATTAAAAATGATATGGATGAGCCTACCTTGAGAGTCGCGGTGGGCCTGGGCGGCCTCCTGGGCTGCAAGGAAGACTTCATCTGTCGTTCCTGGAGCTCCTGCCACCGAGCCCACAACTCCTCCCGCATTACTCCGATCGCCGGTAACGTGCCACGCACCTATACCTGCTAACGAAACAAATAACCATACTCAAAATCTTTCCCTTTTATGTGATTAGTAGATGTCAAATAATTTTTATACGTAAAATGAGATATAAAATTAAATATGGAGAAAAATAGTGTAAACTGTATAACTATGGATTGTGCATTTGACACTAAAAAAATTAACAAAATTCTAGGAACAAAGGATAATACTTTATTATTTTTAGCTTTTTCTCATATTAAAACGAGAACAATGAAAATTTTTCAGATTCTTGAATTGTTCGAAGTAGTGAAATACAGGGTATCAATGATATCACAAATCATACATATCCTTTTACAGAATAAGTATACTCGGCAGTATCGCGTATATTATAAAGTAACAACACACCTTAACTGAACACCCCAGTTTCCCGGAATTTTCACGAGAATAATGTTCAGTAAATAACATCTTACATTTTTATTAATCGCATTTTACTGTCATTGTGCACACACATACATGCATACATACGAAAATGTACGTCGAATTCTTGATATATTTCAAATATATCTTCCCTAATTAAACAACTACGATAATAACACTTAGAATAAAGTAATACTGATCGTTTCCAACCTATTTCACAATTTAACATTTTTTTTCTCGTTTTTATGCTCACATGATAATGATGATTTAGTATAAACTTGAATCACTAATCTATAACAAAGATAACAAAGCTATAAACATATAAACATAAAAAGATAACAGCTATAAAATGAACAATTAACGAGCAATATCAATACTTTCGTTATCCTCATAACAAGATTTGATTTTTGAAAACTATTTACAGATGCCGATAAAAAAGAAGAGAAAAAGAAAATTATAAACTCATACATAAATTAGGCTCAAATGTGCAAATATTAATACGTATACCTAACATGTAATTCTTTCGATATACGATATCTTTCGAAAATCGAGAGTGAATCATGAATAAAATATTAAACATATCACACGATATACAACATATACGGTTTTCACACATATTTGTCTTATTCTGAAAAATCTACGATATGTATAAGCTCGCTTGCTCGCTCGCTCGGTCTCTCTCTCTCTCTTTCTCTCTTACTCTCTCCTTCATATATGTAAGTATGTGTATAAAAATTTGCAATAAAACACGTATATGTGTATTCGATAAAAAATATACAAAAAAAATTATTTACGATTTGTGCAACGTAATGTTACAGTCGTAATGAAACAATATAATAAATATATACACATATATAAAAAAGACAGAAAATAAAAATATAAAGAAACAGAGCAGAGTAGAATCGAACAAACTGTTCCTCTATCGACCAATGGCGTATTATAATCATCATTACATGAACTATATATATAAAAGCATACACCACACTAGGGTTGTCTAGGCTGGATCAGGTTACTAGGTTGTTGTCTCCATCTCCTTCTGACGACGTTCAACTTTTTCAAATAGAATTGTAGGGTTGAGCGATTAATGCCATACATCTCTGAAGCCTGAGTGGTGCTAACCCCCTGCTGTAATATTGCATCCAGGGACATTTTAACCGAGTCTAAACTATACTTTCTGCCCTGTTTTTTTTCCAGCGATTTAAGCAACGCGCCTACGTCAACGTCTGGGCGTGGCCGCCTCATGTTCGGCCCTTTTTTACATTCGAGGAAATGGGACGCCCAAAGGGCACCGCCATCACCACCCATCAAATTCCCTCTCGACCGAGACCGCGCTCCCGCCCCCCCACCTGCAACGAGGAAACCCAAGCTAGTGTCGGCCGATCATTACACGACCCGTTTAACATTTAACAAATAAAAAACGCAACGTTCGAGTCAGTAAGGTTTAAAAGTCACTAATGAACGAGTCCTTTCCTCTATTATAATTTCACATTTTAAATTCGATAAACCCGCATTAACTTGATACAAATACATATTATATCCTATCCTTTTATCAGGTTTATTTTATTCAGATAGAAATCTATGCTTCGATTCAAAGTTTCTTTGAATCGAAGTTTTATCACTGAACTATACAGATGCATATCATCTGCATAACGTGGTATTAATTTCGTGTGGGGAACTCATCGCGTATGAAATTATTTAGGAATATCTGAACGACACAATCGACAATTCGGAACGTATGAACATAATTTGAAATCGACTCGCATATCGCGTAAATTCGTGAAAATACCCTGTATTTCGCTACTACATAACAAAAGAAAATCAAAAGGAAAGTATAAAAATATTACATCCGTTCAACTTACCAGGATGTTGGGAGGGGTCGTGGGACGGGCCAGCTCTATTGTTATCCTGTTCCATCTCGTTCAGATCATTCATATCGTCATCCAGCGTTAGATCTTCGACACTTTCTTCTGGATCTTCCAGATATTCAGACTTTGGCTCGATGAGATTATCATTTGGCTCAGGTTTTTCTAACGGCAACTACGACAAGAAAAACAACTTTATAAAAAAACAGCTTTTTTTAATCATTTATTTATTTAAATGTTGTAAAAACCAATAAAATGTCATGTGAATTATTAGAATCGTGTATCGCATCGTTTCCACTCTATAAGAATATTCATGTAACATCAAATAGTAGGACAAAATACGATTTCGTTTGCTCTACCAACGCGCGAAAGAAACAGCGTTATTACAACAGTTTCCATTATACGTTGGTAAACAATTAATAATAATCATATAATAACATTTCAATGTTGAATTTCCTTGGGTTAAATGCTTACCTGCAACATTTCATCAGCAGGTTTCGTCAACTGCGTCATTAAGGCTGACCTCCCAATAGAATCTGTAGGGTCTGCATGTGTTTTTTCATCAGCCACGGGTGTAATTCCAAGCGCAGGAACGCCCATTTGTTGAGGCATATCGCTTGAATTCGACGCTTCATGATTTTCTACAGAATTGTCATCACCTATACTTTTTCGTCTAAATCTTTTTCTTTTTCTCGAGGTGGGACTTTGAGAACCTTCCCTGTATATATAAAAAAAAAATAAAAAAATAACGAGAATAATAATTTTGTATTTCCAACAAACGAAAATTTCAAAATTCCAACGTTCTTCTTACCTCGAGGAGAGACCCTTAGGGATTTGGGGACTGGCTGAGTCTTCAGGCAGGTCCCCTACGGAACCTTGTGATATACCCTGCCTAGGAACTTTGTTCTTTTCTATTGTAAGACCGGAAGACGAAATTGGAATGTCAGGCTGTGATGTTGTTTGCGGAACGACTTTTTGTTGCCTAGAGTCCGTCTTACTACTACCACTTGTTTTACTTTCTGATAGACCTTTAATTTGCAGAGACTCAGCAGCTTTAAGTAGTGCTGCCAATTGGTCTTGAGAGATATTTACTTCTCCCCTGTACATATAGTCCATCATTGCTTTCAATTCTTTAAACTTAACATCTTTGAGTATAAAGACAGGATGCTTGTCATAATGTTCACTGAGGAGCCCCTATAACAAAAATATTTCTATAAACTTTCTGATTTGCATCGATTAATAAATATCGCGATTTAAATAACTTAATATTAATAAATACTAATAATAAAAGAATATGCAAATGCCACATTAGCAAATTGACATTTAGAATAAATACAGAAAACTCAAATAATATTAATCAATAGAATTCAATTTCTTAATTTCGTATTCAAAGATATATTGCTTCTTTATACACCCCTCCACCCATATCAGGGTAAAATCCCAGGGCAAGTGCCCTGGAAATCAGCCATCTTGCTTTCTCTGTATTGATTACCAGGAGGAACCAGGAGGGGGTTTGGGCTTTCAGTTCCCCTGCCTCTCTGGCTTCTGCCCAGGCAACATTCAACAAGAGCAGCCATTTTGTTTCAATTTGAGGTTCCTCCTTTTTAGTTTGAACTTCAAATTTTTTTTACAATTTATGATTTTAGCAGTATCAAAAAAAAAGAAACTTAAATTTCAAATCTAATCTCTATAATAAAAAAGAAATTCAAACATTTAATTTGAACTTCGTTTTTATTTATTACTAAAATATAGTTATATTTTAAATATGAGAATTAACAGGAGTGATGTTTTAATCTTTTCAATGTTGCAGAAATTTGAAACCATTAAATAATTTTAAATCGAAATTTAGCACGGCTTAAACAAGTACAATTGCTACATGTAATATGTAATAAACAAAATAAAAACAATAATCATAACAACAATAATTGAAATACTAATAATATTAAACATATTAAATAAAAACTATAACAGGATAAAGATAATGAAACATTAAAAAATACACTCACCTCAAAATAAGGACTGCACGCAGATAGAACTACCTTATGGGCTTTCAAGTACTTCCCCTCTGCCGCGAGCGTGCAGTCAACAAGCGTCCCGCTTTCGAGAAGCGTGTCGAAGTTCTGGATTAATGTACTCTGATGATTATTCCACCTAAGGCAGAACTGCTGGTCGTCTTCCATTTTTTCTGGCTTCGTTCCCTCGTTACTGAACAAGCAAAAAAATATTCCGGAAAATGATAATCCGTTTAACGTTGATGATAATCGACCGTGCTTAAATGCTATCTATTTATATTATGTCCAACTAACACGAACATTGAGGCCAATGATTTAGAAATAAAAGGCAAGATCAATAATTAACGTCTATTATTCCGATTGATATGTGTAATCGCGATGAAAGCTCCGCAAGGAAGCAGCAGAGCTTCCAAAATGGCCGTACGTTGCAAGCGCGTCGGTCGAATTGGTGTTCTGGCCTTTTCCTTTGTGCGTGTCCTCATAACGGTAATGGACGATTTGGTGGGGATGATGCAGGAGGACGCGCAAGCACTACGCATGCGCAGCTGCGCCCGACCTGCGCATTTAACTTGCGCACTAGTTCGAGGCCCCTGGAATTCAGGGACGTCTGCTGGATATCCAGTACCCTAACGATATCAAATTTCGAGACTGCATATCAGACCAGTTACATTGAAAATAACTGGTGGTAAATCATTTTGATATAAGGAACTGTTTATACAAAGATACTATATTAGAATATGACTTGAAAAAATATGTATTATTCCTAATATAAAATTACTAATACATTTTTCAAGAAATGCAAGTTTGCAATTTTTTGTCCTCAAATATCATACAATTATATAACAAAATTGCATACTATATCAATATGTAAGCTCACTTAAAACAAGATTTAATACGACCACTAAGTCATATTGAAATTTATATCTCGAAGAGACTAACACAATTTATATCACGGATATTTACATCACTGACGCGCAATAAAATGGAAAATCGATTACTCTCTCCACATGCGCAACGCGTAAGTCTCCTAATGGAGGGGGTAACCATAATGCAAGTATATATTTATGTACGAAGATTAATACAAAATGAAGCGAAGTGCATTCACCACGGCTTACAACTGATTGCATAATCTATTTATATTGTTATCTCGCATTGAATGTTACGTCAGATGGCGCCGAGCAACGTGTGCGAAGCAAAAACAAGTTAGCGACAGATAATTTTTTTCAGTCGTCAGTCTTTCAATTGGGAAAAAAAAAAGAATGATGCACTTTCCTCATATCGCCTTCAGAAACTACGGAGAGGAGACATGGATCGCAATATGGCCGCCCACGAGGTCGCGCCCGGACAAAATGGCGTTAAAAGGAAAGTTCATAAAGAAAAAGAAAATTTACAATCGATCTTCGTTATTAAAATTTCTCGTTGAAGTATCGTCTGGACGAAAATATCAAAATCGCAAACACTTCACTGAGAAATTTATTCAGAACAATATTTAAGAAAAATACTGTTTTCTTAGATACAGAGGATCCGCCCGCGCCATGTCACCCCACTATATGATTTTCCCAAAATTCTCTTAAGTTTCACGGAAGTCGAAAATATTGCAATGAACTACTTGTAACACTCACCTAATACGGGATATAAAACAATCTAATATCACAGCAACGGGATGGGTGATAAGTGAAAAAAAACTGCGTAAGCGTTCGAGCTTGGCGTGCGCCTCGAGCGCTGCCTTTTTCAACAATGGCGTAGCCGAATGTCTACTCTCAGTTGCCTCTACGCCGACCGTCAGAGAGCGCAGGCTTCTCCGGAAGAAGGAACCAGTAAAGGAAAAACGTGAAAGAAACGAGCATGCGCTCTACTCTTAAACCCTTTCATGATTTTTGTCGTGATTGAAAATTACAACTAGGACGCTAACCAACAAAACACGTACTTCTTCATTTTCACTTAATAATTTACAGAAAGATTTCAGAAAATTTTTGACACAACAGTAAAATGGCTAAAGGAAAATATTATAGGTTACAATTTTATTTTGACATTTTCTGACGTGTTGACATTTAAAAAAGACTTAATTAAAACACAACATCTGATAAAATAAAATGCAAAAAAATTGTTTTACATAAAAAAACGGCACATGTAAAATTATGCATATTTTCTAAACCCATATTACACAATTTATATGTAATATGTGTTGATTGTAACATTTAATGTAAGGCAATAAGAAATATGTCGTCCATAAATGACTGATCGATAAAATTCATCTTTGAATTAGGGCATTTTTTTATATGTTCATGTATAAGAATTTATTTACTATTACACATATGTCTATAATGAAATGTATAAGAATTTATTTACTATTACACATATGTCTATAATGAAAATTCATTACTTAATGATAAAAATGCCTATAATATTTTGTACGTCATCCGGCCCTGGACCGCAACCTAGCACGCGTAACGTAATGGCCGACTTTACAAACTTAACCGAAACAAGATGGCGAAAAATGTTCGAAAATATTTAAAGATGAAAATAACTGTATTTAAATTACCAAATATTTCATCTAAATTTCAATTAAAAATTTTTATCCATAATATTTCAAGCACTATACACTTACACTTACTACGAGATCGCGTATGTATGTGTGACGAATACTTATTGGTAAGGCGACCTGATTTTTCTTCTCAATTTATTATAACGATAATAGAACTACTCGAAATGAGATATTTAAAACATAAATAAACAAATGTGCATGAATTACTCACCTATATTGGCACAATCTAAATATCACAAGAGGAAAACTTGGAAAAAACTACACGTCTCGTCCTCAGCGTACACTATCCGAACGCCGTGGCTTCTTTTTACACAATGGCCGTACTGCTACGCGTTAACGATCGACCTGCTCTGCAAAGGGACAGCCGGGATGCTCGGAAACAGTGTGCTTCTTGTGGGGAGACGCGGCGCAGAAAATTAAACTTGACGTTGTGCGCATCGAGATACGAATAGTGGGGTAAAGAGAACGGCCAGTTAACACAGGATCGTCGAAAGACTCTTTGAACCTAGCGACTTTCGCACAACAGAAGATAAATATAAACAAAAAAGATTGACTAAATAATTGTTAGTCTTCTTTATAAAAGAATCAATTTGTAAATTTGCGCTATATAGCAAAATTTTATATGCATATCAAATATAAACGCGTAAAAACAGCATACTCTTGTTATAATATAACGTACAATTGAAAGTTGCATCTGTATCAATTGTTTTCAACGACACAATATATAATACGCATTGTAATTTGTCGCAACGATTAACATTTTTGGTCTGACAAACGATCTCCAAATCAGTTTATTAATTATTTTGAATAAAGAAATCGAGAAGTTGTAGGGAAGAAAGTTGATACAATCCTGATTTTTGCCGGTTGAACATCATAGCAATTCGTGGTGGTGGAAGGGGTTTGCGTGTATGTAGTGGGGAGGAAGGCAGATTTCCGTTCAGGGGCGCGTTTACAGCGTAGCGCAGCCGGCGGGAGAGGCGAAAGGCGACGCGGGAGAAGTGGAAAGCCGTGAAGAGTGAGCTGACGAAGGGAAGAATCGGGGTCCACAACAAAATCGCTTAATCGCTTTGCGCCACCGTCCGCAACGGAACACGGGTCGTCCGCCGCCATCACGGTGCCCCCTAGTGTGCATTTATGTCTTTCTCTTTTTCCATCTCTCTCTGTGATTCGTTACGCCACTTCGTGCCGCGACGTTTTCACGGGCAAACGGAAAGTGACAACTGCCAGTCGTCAGCGCGGTACGTGCTTTACGTGACGACTGACAATTGTCCGTGTGTCATCGCGTGAACACGCGTTTTCCTTCACAAAAGACATATTTCTTCGCGAAGTACGAAGACATCTCTGTATCAAGTGTCATAACTATAGCAAAAGTGAGTGTCTTCTGCGGACCTTGGCACGGAGTTGCCAAATATTGGCTAAAGTTTAGTTCCAGTGGTGATATTCTTCGTAGGCCAGGTCATGGTAAGGTAAGTGTAATGTTTAATTCCCTTTTATTCATTTCGTGTTTATTCGTTTCATTGATATCTAATACATTACACGGTCGCATCATAATCATTCCTTTTGTTTAAGAACAAATGCTAGTTTCGCGTTGCTACTTGTTGTTATTCTAACGTAACATCACATTATTCATGAATGGAGAAACATATTGGCTCTGTCAATGAATCTGTGTAATCGCTATAGGAAACTGGATATGAAGATCCTGTCGATCTTTCTCAAACGACATTCTGCATCGCATTTACGCGCGCTGGTGTGTATTGTTTTGACTTTCGTTCGCTTCGTCCATAGTCCCGTACAACTGGTCAATTCGTTGTGCGTAGGTGTGCGTGACAATAATCCACGACGTTTAACAACCTGTCGCATTCGGAAAGACGAATTACACGTTCCTCCATGCGCGCCTCGTGGCTTCTCTCCATGAGGATTTGGAACAGTTGCCGCGTGCACGTTCGAATCGCTGTCGCCGATTACGGTAGGTCACGTGCACGATAACTGTCCAATAATCAACGATTACGTATGCGCAGGAAACACTTATTTAATGTTTGCGCGTAGTCTATAGCCATATACGAAGGAAAACACAACTAGTGTCTTGTCTTGGTGCAAAATTACTTATAAAATGTATATCGTACAACAATAATTATTTTTTTCAAATCTTTTTCACGTACAAACTGTCTTTCTCTGCTTCATTTTATCGGTTTTTAATTTATTTTGCAAAAAATATTAGTATATTTTTTGTAATTATTAGACTCAATATGTAACAGTTATTATTTGCGATGTGTTATTCTATGAGTTTGAAACAATAGTAATTGACACGTAAAATTTTTATAATAATAATATTTTATAACAACAGTACAATTGATTTTGCAAAATTGTATCATATGTTCTTTCAAAATGAGAATACTAAAAACAAACAAATTCAAAAACTTTTTCACTGAATGTTTTCGATACATCAAAATAGACAACGATAAAGATAGAGAAAAGAAAAAAAAGAAAAGAAATTCTGAAAACGAGCAAAAAGGATATACCGTAATAAGTCATAATTTGTAATTGTACGCATTTAAACGAGTAAGAGTTATTTATTGCATCGGTCGCGAAAATCATTAATAAGTACGTATAATCGTTAATAAAATATACTAAGATTTTCTCCGCACAGCAAGCAACGATTTACCCATACACCATACATTGTACCAGCAGTACCGATGATAAAGAGAAATGCTGCCTAGAAAGCAGGTCTTGACTGAATCTAGGCCACCCTGATGGCGCGTACACATTCTCCACAATTTTACTGTTCCTTCTCTCGGCCTTGCGTTCGTATCCGTTGGGAGAACTGCGTATATTTTCTTTTCTCTTCTCATCTATTTCTTCTTCTCGATGTCGCTTCTCAATCTCTTCCATGTTTTCATTTGCTAGTCTCTTGCTAGTCTCTCTCTTTGTCTACTTCTCCTTTTTTCTCTTCTTTTTATACATACATACATACTCTTCCTCCTTTTCTTTCTTTCTTAGAACGATGACTTGAGTTCCGAAGGACTACTACAGAGATAATATTAATATATTCATTTATTTAAACTTCTGTTCAAAGTTTATTTAGTATTCTAATTCGTATATTCATGATGACAAAAAGTTTTTCAACAAAGGATTGAAGTGAAAGAGAAAAAAAAAAAAACTATAACAGGTATAATTTCGACTTGTGCTATCTCTAAAAGAAAACTACGATGAGATCAACTATTTTCTCAAGAGCCTCAAGCGGAATCGCGTGTATATGACTGACAGTGGGGCGATTGAGAGCGACCTAGAAAGGTTTCAAAAGACATTTTCCCGTTCACCCACGTATAAAGCTGCCCTCTCACCGCAAAAGCATAGAGCCACATAACATGAAACCTCGTATAGTAATTGAGATAGTAAAAGAGAGGGGGAACAGAAAAACGAACGGAAAAAGTTGTGTACATGTGTTAAGAACATAGGGACGGATATACATATATACGTATATATAGTTATAGTTATAGTTATAACAGATAGAAACAAAAATAATAAAAGATGACGGATGCAAAGAAACAAAAAAAGAGAGAACTCAGGTGAATGTATGTTTCTCCAAATAAAGTATACTATACATACACATACAGATATAGGCGAATACATATATACATATAGGCTTGTATGCGTTTATGTGCCTCGCTGTTCGCGCGCGCATAGGAACAACGGAAAGTACGGAGCATAATACGGAGAAAACGCTGGTAAAAGGAAAGAGGCCCCTCTGCCTTTCCAATCGAATCGAACGCCCCTCTCGCCTTTGTCATTTTCTCTTTGTCCTCGTTTTGGGCTTGCCATTCTCTCGAAGAGCTCTCTCCCCTTTTTTCTCTCTTTTTCCTTCAGTCTCTCTTTTCCTTTCGTGCCGCTGCTTTACTCTTCTTCGGTTCTTTATATAGCCAGATTCACAGGGAAAAACCGAACAAACTTGAATATTCTTTTCATTCGATGCCTATTTTTGTTTCTCATTCTTCATCTTCTTCTTCTTCTGTTTCTTCTTTTTCTTTTTCTCCCCCTCCTTCTCTCTTCATTTTCTTTTCCCTCTGCTTCATATTCCTTCTCTTTCTGATACATAGCAAATATCTTTATTGTATCAGGAAAGAGAAAAATACAGAAAGATGGAGAAGGGAAAGCAGATAGAAAGAGATGACAAGACAAAAAATTTCTCTTGCTTCATTCGTCTTTTACCAGTTTTCTTCTTCACTCTCTGGCTTCCCATGAAGTATTCTGTCTACTACCCTAACCTCTTTCTTCTTTCTTTCCTACATCTCGATTTGCCTCTACCCATCTTTTCCTTTTCCTCTCCGCCTCTTTGTATTCCCCTCCCTCGATAACCTTCCTCGTCACTACCACCTCTAGCTCTATCTCCACTTCCACCTCCACTTCTCCTCTTTTTCTTTCTCCTCTACAATCTCCTTCGCTTGCTCGTTCTTCGCTACCACCGTCACCGCTACCGCCACTGTCGTCGTCAACGTCGTCGCTGTTTTCTCCTTCGTCCCCTCTTACCCTACTCCTCGAAACTGATTTTTTCCGCTGGCAACCCTCTTGCCTTTCTCTTCCTACTATATGTTCTTCGTTTCATATCCTTCCATAAATATCAGACCAAAAGAGAAAACAGAACAAAAAAAAAAGTTAAGATAATGAAAGAAGGAAAAGAGAGGAAAAAGAATATACAGATAAGTATTCAGATATTAAATTTTCTTTTAATGAGATTCATAGCTAATGTCTCTTTAATGTAATGTAGTAATTGTTATTTCAATTTTAGTAAGAGTAAAAAATAAGAAAGAGTTGTCTTCATGTGAACGAAAATATTATTGTTGTTGTTATTTGCGTATCGATAACTTTAAATCTACTGAATCACAAAACCTGAAAAGATAAATTAAAAATTATCCTATGTAAGTATATATACAATCACATCCTCTATATGCAGAATCACGTCATAAACTTTCTGTTCCATTTCAAAATAATTTAAATATCTGGCACATATGTGTATCTAAAAAATATCGTATCGTTTGATCATTAATCTCGTTTACACAGTTGATTTTGTATCTGACTTATTATAAGTTGTATTCTCCGTTTCTCCTTCTTTTTTCATTCTTTTTTCGTCTCCCGTTCTCGCACTTTCCTACCTCATCGTTCATTATGTCCCTTTGCTTATGTCCCATTGCTGTCTCAAAAAAGCAGTTTTGTCTCTTCTCCTTCTTTTTCTTGCAAATCTTTTCCCTGCTGCTCTTTCTCTTTCTCTATCTCTCCTTATATTCTCGCTCGCGTTCCGCTTATCTCCGGAGTTTCTCATTGTCTGAAAGAGCCATCTGTCCCCCGGCTTTTTCATCCTCCGCTTTCATCCCTCTGCTGTACACGAACACACAAAGAGACTCTCTTATCCACCCTCTCTTCACCCTTTCTCCAACTCCCTTCTTCTTCGTTGCTTCCGTTCAGCCGACTACTCCTGCGCATCCTCGTTGCTCCTTTCTCTTTCCTTGAAACTTTACCAGATTCCTTTGCTATTGATAATTGTCATGTAACAGACAAACAGGGAGTAAGAAAGAGAGAAGGAGAGAAGGACAATACTGAAAACAATGTGCCAGCAGTCACGTTTTTTACAAATGTAAATTCGAAATTTTAGACTCAAGTACCAAAAGTGCAGACAACAAATGAAACCATATAGAAAAAAAAATCTTTTTCATAACGCGAATAGTTGTTCAATAGTCGTAGAATCGAATAAATAACAAAAAGTTGTTCACCCTCGTTGTTAGGGAGACGAGATCCCTCTAGGCAAGCCACGTGCGACCTTGGACAAGTCCACGTCACCCTCTTACGTTGCACCCTTCGAAGGGACGCAACCCCGATTACGTGGACGTCGGGGGTGGTTTCTAACCCTCGTTTATCCTTGTTCTATAAGTACAAAATAAAAAGAGAAGATATATTGATACATAGGAACAAGTGCGAGTAAAACAAAGAACCAGGTTGTGTGCAAAGCTCCTTTTTTAAAAAACGGTTTCTAATGAAAAATTTTATAACCAAAAGCGATGCGTAATTCGTTTAATGTACAAAATTTCCATGCTGTTTTCGTCGAAGAGATATCTCTTCGTAGATATTACAAAATAACGATACAGGCAATCGAAAACAACTCTAGCATTTTTCTTTTCTTCTTTCTTGCAAATCTCTCTTGCACGTGTCAATTCTTCTGCTCTCATTCGATTCCAGTGAAATGGCGTTTCCGGGTCTCTCTTCTCTCTCCATGTCTCGTGGCTCGTTCTTCCTCCTCTCTCCTTTCCTTTTCTTCGAAAACGGCGTCGAAGAATAATGGCGGGGATGTGAAGGTGGTAGGAAGAACGGAGACAACGTAGCCAGCACTTACATACGACTGCTCTTTCAAGTGGTAGGGCGAAGGGGAACAGGTGAGAGGCCGAGAGAGCTCGGTTCTCTCGGAAAGGTGAACGGAGAGAAACGAAGAAACGAAGGGCATTTGGAATGCGGTACTGTTATGCCTTACGGTACAGACAGGACGGAAATTAGGACTGCTTCGACTCGTTGACCACTGCTCGTTATTCTCTTCATTCGTATATTAATTCTCTTTTTGCCTCTTCTTCATTCTTTCTCCTTCCCTTTCTCTCTCTCTCTCTCTCTCACACACACACACACACACACATACGCGCGCGCGCGCGCGCGCGCAACCTCTTTTCTCCTTTTTACTTCAGCACGTTCTATTCTCGCAAATCAAGATCACGAAAGTAATGGCAATATATGCAGAATACTAATGAAATAATCAATCTTTATTAACGACCTTTTATCATCTAGGTATTCGATATTTCCAGCGACCAGTAGAAATCGTGCATTTGCCGATTCTCATGGATTATAATCTGTATTATCTGTAGAGTACATCGTTTGCAAATATCACAACACTTTGACGTCAATCATTCCGAATATGAAAAATATATATAAAAGAATCTCTAAAGAGTGTTTATTGAATTCTTCAGAAACACAAAAGAATAAGGATCGAACGAACCACATCGATAACTAGAAACGACGGTATTTTAAGCAATGAATGGCGATAACGAAACAAATTTTGAAAATTATGCTATACCTAGGGAAGAAGAGAAGAAGGAACAAGGAACAAGGGAAAGGCAATGACGATGGTGCGCATAATTCGACAGTGGGAACAAAAATTTTATTAGTGACGCGTTTTATCGGCCGCGCCTTTTCGATAGAGAAAGAAAGATGAGAGATGAGAATATGGAAGTGAAGCGAAGAAAACTGTTCTGGAAGATTTCAGAGTGTTCCCTTTAGAAACGCGGTTCTGACTGGAAGACTAAGCAGGAGGGGAGAAGCCGTTTCCGCTTACGTTTTCCCGGAGAAAGAGCTGGTTGGTTGTCTCGAGAATGACGGTATGGACGACGGTACGATGGTACGATGGTACGACGAAAGGAAAAAGTCCGAGAAGAGCCGAGGAAGAACGTCGATAACGTTGGAAAAACGTAAAACGCGCAGCGACTAGGAGGAAAAGGAAACACCGCGTGTAGTATAAGGAGAGGAAGAGAGGAGAAAGAGAGAGGGTAGAAAGCTTCCCATCGAGCGAACCGAGAAAACGGAGTGCCCGCGCGATGGAGAGAGAGAGAGCGGAAGAGAGGATAGGATAGGAGAGTTGTGCAGAGAGGAGAGTAGAGGAGAGGAGAAAAAGAGAGAAGGGTGGCGGAGACCGTGGAAGAAAAGGGGCCACGAGAAAATAGCGTCTTCGCCTCGTGGGGAGGGAACCAGGGAACGAGTAAATGGAGCCAACGTTCGGAGAAAGAGGGAACGAGAGACGAGGAGGGTCGAGGAAGAAACGATGAAACGATCGAGGGACAAGGAGGGCCAGAGAAAAGAAAAGAAGGAGATGGAATGAGAACGATACGAGGGTAGAAGAAGAGGGAGGGGAGCACGCGCTCGTCTACTTCACGAATGGCAGAGAGACAGACGGGGAAAAAGAAAGAGGATGGGATCCGAGGGAGGCGAGGTGAAATTGGACACAAAAAGCTCGAAGAAAAATTGAGATGAATCGTGGAAGGGAAGATGGAAGGGAGGATTCTCTGAAAGGGAGAAACCAACGCAGTGTCCTTCTTCGAGACCGCGAAAGAAAACGCGACCGTACGAGGGATGAACGTTCCGTCGATTCCATATATATATATTTACAATTTATTGTTGATTTTAGCAATCGCTAAATAAGATTCGATCATCCGTTCTCCGTGAAATTTTGTTTACGTCCGTGAACGTGGCTGGTGTTGCTGTTTTCGTTGTTGCTAGTGCCACGAATACATCGATTGTGTAAGTGAACGCTATTGTGCTCTAACACTATGCCTCTTCTTTCTACCACCGTGTCTTTACTATACTTTTCCGCGAGTAACGCGCGCGCTCTTTACCGTACCGTATCCCGCTCGAGTAGCTTAGCTTCTCTTTACCCTCGTTACTCCTTTCACGGTCACATTTACGTGAAACGATTGCATTGACGAAACTACCTGCTCTCTTCTCCTACCATTTTTTTACCTCACATCCACCGTAAATCACAAACGGCGATCCGCGATTCAATAACTAATAATTTACCAGGAATAAAAACACTTCAATTACCTACTAGTAAAATAGGGACACAAATTAGCTACAGTCCACAAGAGGCTGTATAAAGGTATCGTGGTATATGATAAATATTTATGCATTGTCTACGTTGTAATAAAGGCGTACACGAAAAATTGACCGACGAGAAAGCGTATTGATCGATTTGATCGGCTGCAAGTGGTTGCGATCGATCTCAATCTTATCCCCACTTCTTATTTTAAGCGCCAAACCATCGTATCGGCAAGCGTTCAGACATATCAACGACACAGCGTACCACGCTTTCCGAACGAGGCGAGGTACAGAGGCGCGCGCGCGGTCTCACTCCGTTTCTTCGACTCGCATTACATCCGGTTTTCTCTTAATTCGTTCGGTCACTTTAATCTCGTTCGTTCTTTCTTTCCTTCTCTCTTTACTTTTCTTTCCCTCTTTTCTTCGTCTATTTCTGCGCTTGATCATATCACGCTTTCCGAATGTGTTGACTCCCGAAATTATAATGGGACGATAGTTTTATAAATTTCTTTAAAGTATATTAAGTCGATATTGAGATGACTATCCAAAGGTCACGCGATCGTTTACCACTGTTCGTAATCGAAAAAAGCGATGGATATAACTTCCAATTACAATTGATGCCTTATCGTAGATTATCGGTTCATATTCGAACATTACGCATGTCTACATGACAATATCGTGTCGTGTACGGATGAGTTCATTGGGCAGCATATAATAAGAATATAAACGTTCGTTTAGAAAATAGATGTTGTTAACAGTTGAAAGTGACTGAAGAAAAAAGAACGGATCAGCTACATCAACTACTTCTACCTATGCTCTCCGTGAAAAGAGATTAAAACATTCGTGACCCGTAACTTGTAAGTAATCACTAACATCCTTCTAAATTCTATCTACGAAAAATCGCAGAATACGCTCGAAATTATTGTTATTGCGAATTGAAGCGATTTGGCGTGGCCGAGGTAAGTCGAGCGGCGTGGTTTCTATGCAATATCAACGCGCGAACTGTGGACAAACCAACGTGCAAAGAGAAATCGGTGAACGGAGAATCAAAGGGAGGGGGGGGGGGGAAGGGGATATGAAAGGAGGCACAAAATGAGTGGAGAGCTTAAAGTTCTCGCGTTATCGGCGCACGTCTAAGCAACTGATAAAAGTCCGTGTTCCTACGGATAGATAACGTGGAATGGTCCGTATAAAGAGTCACATAGATAGAAGCAGATAAAGCACGGTCCACGGAACAGGTGAATGTTACGAGACAGACCAACGCCCGACCTTCTTCGTCGCTTTCGTAGTGTCGCGTATTCGTATCGATACATGTTATTTCCTCTGTAATACTTCGACCGCGTATTTCTCCAGTTTTCTTCCCGGTTTCTACTTGTTGTTGTTTCTTCCTTCTCTCGGAGGTTGAACACGGTCGAAACACAGTTGCCGTCGTTATCACGAACCCGCGACGGAATCTTCGGTGTCGTTCATCGTTCGTCGCTATGGATGTTCGTTATTCGTCAATGCTCCTCCACGTCAATGCCTGAGCCACGTCGATCCGTGATTCTCGTTTTCGTTGTTCACACGTTGTCGACGTTAGCCAAATCGCGAAAGTGTTTTTCCACTTCGTTCTGCCGCGAGGAGAGGGACTGTTTGTGCACTGCCCGTTACTGTTACCAACAGTTGGCCTCTTCTTTCTCCGATCGATTTTTATTTCTCTTGGCTCGTTCCCTTCGACCGTTCGCGATCGATTCGTTCCAGCCCCCGATCCTCTTACCGACCTACGTCTATTTTTCTTATTTTCTTGCTACCGGTTTCCCGCCCTCTCTTTATTTCCTCAGTCACCGCAAATACGATCTCAACCGAACGGTCTCCGCGCCGCCGATACCGTGCTGGTAAGGAGAACGAATATTTCATGGAGACGGATCGTTATTGGGGCGTGCACTACAGGTACTGTCCTCTTTTACGGATCGATTTGAAGGAAAGAAGGAAGAAGGGCATCGTTGCAATGTGCAGCTCGTGCTATGACTTTTACGATAAAACGACCGAACGAACGAAACCGATCCACGATTGGCAACGACCGTGTTTCTTAATCTCGTAATCGCTGAAAAAGTAACCGTTTCCTTGCTGTTTCTGTTACAGCGGCGGCATGGCCGGGCAGCACTACTGCCTGCGCTGGAATAACTATCAATCGAATATGACATCCGTTTTCCATCAACTACTCCAGACAGAAGCTTTCGTCGATGTTACTCTAGCATGCAACGAAGCTTCCTTAAAGGCACACAAGGTAAATGAATAACTATCGCAAGCGATAGTGAACTAATTCGAAACAGATTCATCTAGTAAATAATTCCTATATCGATTCTCTCTCTCTCTCTCTCTTTCTCTCTTGTATCGATACACGTATCGCGTGCATGTATCGCGCGATGCGTTGCATCGTGTCGTTTCACTTCACGATGGCTCCAGGTCGATACAAGGATTTTCTTCTACCTACCTTATTGATCGTTCGATACAGCTCCTTCTGTTTGCGCAGGTGGTACTATCGGCGTGTAGTTCCTACTTTCAAAAGCTCCTACTTTCAAACCCCTGCAAACATCCGACAATCATTATGCCCCAAGATGTATGCTTCAATGATCTCAAATTCATCATAGAATTTGTCTACAGAGGAGAGATCGACGTTTCGCAAGCAGAACTTCAGGTAAGAATGACAATTATTTGTGTAATTTGAGCAATGATCAACTACTTATATCTTACCTCTTTTTTACTGTTTCTCTCTTTTTTCTTTTTTTTCCTTCTCTCTTTTTTATATTTCTTGTTTTTTTCTTCTCCGTTCATTTATTAAAACAATGTTCCTGCGACCATACAGCAGTGCATGAACAGACGATTAACGACACAGAAGCAATTCCTATTTCACTGTTCCAATCACGTATACGTATTTCCCTTAACTGGCAAATAAAAATAGGAAAATAGAGATTCAGCGGCATGAACAAAGTATTGGTGATACATACATACTTTGTACTGCGCAAATAACGCAACCGTCTCGTCTATTCCTACCATCGTGTCATTCAGAGCTCTCGATCCGACAATATAAATGTGACAAGGTGTTCAAAACTTTCTCTTCCCTTGCTTCCTCCTACCTTCTTTCGCGTTACTAATAAACGAACACAATCTTCACAAACCTTTTTATCGACAGTGACGAGGAGCTTTCCCAACCGTTGGAAATTAACCCATTACCATCGATACCAACTTGAATAGTTTCGCGTTGCAGATTTCTTACTTACCGATTGGGATTCGTTTTCTCTTCCCTTTTGTGTTGCACTCGTGCAGACCGATTATCGATAACGTAGATGCTATAAATTTTTTAAATAGGACTATGTTCTTTAACTAAAAATAAAATGGATTCGATATAAAATCATTGATTAAGGATACGGTAGATCTATAATATTAATTTACCTATAGACCTGACATATATTATTCTTTTTCATGTTTTACGTTTTCAAGTCTATCTGACTTCAAGTCAATATGACTTTCCTTCGTTATTTGAATAATAATTTTTTAATCGTGCTGCGATTTTTGAATTTTTATATTTCAATGTTACACTCTGTTTAGTAGACAAAAAGAATTTATAATATCCTAAAAAGATGTTTAACATAAAACTTGAACAAAAAATCATGCACACTAATAGCATTTTTTTATATTTTGTTTCGTAATTTTTAATTTTAAATGGGTTTAAAATGATCAAAAGAACGCAACAACGTTAAATGCACAATGTTTATTTTTACTGTCAAAAATCGCAAATCAATTTTCATTTTGCAATTTTCTAAAAAAAATATTTTTGAACATTAAAGAAATAGCACATCGAATGATGATATCGTTATTATAGAAACTTAAATTTAAACAAAAGTGATTTTATAATGTGAAAGCAAGTGAAAAAGAAAGAACGACAGAGAATTCCGGATAGTTCAATACGATATTCAGAAAGAAACTCAAAATTAGGATATTTTTTATAAAATAATACAATACTTACTGTCATTTTGGTTTTCTGTAAAAATTGATAACACTAAGATCATGTATGAAATTTATGAGAAAAATTAATTTCTTTAAATCCATGAAAAAAATTAATATATCGTAGATTTAGCTGTAATCTTAAAAATATAAAGATATTTGTTCAAATTATAATGATATGTTACTTAAAAAGTTTTTTTAATCATTTCATTGATAACGGAAAAAGTAATTAAAAAAGGCAATCTGAGTACAAGAACGAAAATAAAATGTGATGTAATTTATCAGCAAACTATTTTTCTTCATAAACTATATTAGAATTTTTTTTAACCACTTTGTTGTGACACCCAAAATAAAAAAGCAACCATAAACATTTTTTGTTCGTATGTCATAATAGTGTAATTAAAGAAAGTCCTCCGAAAATCCACAAGGAAGGATATTCTGGCCCCAATCGTCGATCGAAATAAAATTTGGGAGGTGTTATGAGAGAGGAAAGGGCTCCAAATATAAAATCTTAGCTTTAAGAATTCACCCGTTCGGAAGATAAGAATCTTACAATTTTACGAAATTTAGCGAAGACAACAAAAAAAAGACGGTGAGTAATACGAAAATTAGACATGAGCAACATAACAGCATTCCCGGTCGGGAATCTCTGCTGTGAATCAAAGATGTATCTAATTCAAACCAACATTGATATGGTACTGACTATATAAATCTACGAGTTGGTAGTGTATCTGTTGAAGCATGTGTATACCTGTTATTTTAGACATATCACGCATTCTAAATGCTTTGAATTATAAGAAAATGCCTTACATTTCAGAATGTGTATTTTTCGCATGGATAAAGTCTAGCCAAAATTTTATACTTGGATTTTTTTTACATCACTCATAACACTTTCCATCTTGAACAATGCCTGGGGCTATTTGGGACAACAGCTAGGTCATTTGACAGATTTTAAAACCTTTAAACAGTTAACAGTAGAGTAAAACAGTAGAGTTCATTATTCGTCAGATTTCTTTGGAATTTAAAACCAATAAAATCATTTCTCAAGTCATTTTCATTACAACAATTAATCCATCTACAATAACTTTAAAAAGATTCTATAGAGAGATTGAAAAATATACTTTGCGATTATACTGTAATAGTTGCATTGATCTTTCACTGCAACTGATTTCCATTAAGGCGTTAAGTGTCGCGTGTATCAAATTTGATACACGCTGAACCTTATTTTAACTTTTTCGTTATATATTTACTACGAATAAATTTTCTTTTTGTTATATAATGTTCTAATTTTCTGATTTCAACATTTATTGTGATAATAAATTAATTTCAAGCTTTCGAAAAACTAAAAAATATATAATTGTTACATATTTCCCAAACTCTACACCGTGCACTATTTCTGATACACGCAACATTTTGGGATCACTCAAAACTCGGCACTCAATGTGTTAAATTCGAATATCATTATTTATTTTATAGAGCAAATGCTCTAGCACAATATCATACTGGTATCTTCGTTTGTTTCAAGTTTAAAAGCCTGTTTCTAAATTTGAAAAGACAAGCATGGAACAACTATAGCACAAATTTGCGATGAGTTGACCCAAATGAAATTGAATTGACCCAATGAGTTGACCCAGTTGAATTCTTTTTTTTAAATGAAATCTTTTTTACTATCTCTATTACTAATGAATTCCAGTGCTTAGGTTTAAACACATGGTCATAAATTATGTATGATATTATATTCATCTCGATTCCAATATTGCTTTTATTTCGTCGATATTAAATATATATATATATATATTTTGAACTTTAATTTAAGTTCAGAATAATTGAAATTTAATTCAAGTTTCGAAGTTTAATATTTGGCAATCAAGAGGTGTGAAAATTTATCGCTAAAGGAAACTAATTGGTTCTACGTGTTAAAATTCTTTCATTTAAAAATTATAGCCATTTTTGTGACGACATGAAAAAACAATACAATTATGTCCTTTCTACATATAAATAAATTTTATTCGAATGTTTTATACAATAAAATTATATCCTTTTACGTACACAATCAATTTTATTCCATTTTTCGAGTATCAAGTATCAGAAGCTGATCAGCAACTGTCGTTCATATCTAGTGTCGATAAATTCTTTTCGAACGTGTACATGTACGAATTTTTTTTTTTTTTTGGTAAAAAAATGTTAAACAAAAGAAGAAGAAAAATATTAAACAAAAACTTAGATTAGTTAGAAAAATGATAGAAAAATTATTAAATACATAGCAACTCAATTTGTATCTAAATATACGTAATTAAGAATTATACGTAAATGGTATAATTATATTGCTTTCTTCATGCAAGCTAAACTCATCACAGTAAAAGTAGCCACAATTTCTAAACGAGAGGGGAGGAGATCTGGCACCAGGGATATTCTTCTATTGATGAACTTTCCACTCATATATGTAACACATTCCTTCACTGGTATTGTCCCAAATTTTAAACTGCAGTTATATTTTTTAAAAATTGTATATTGCAATTTCAAATGAATTACAAAATAAACAGTTATTTTATTAAATTTATAATGAATAAATACAGTAATACATAAACAAGTTTTAAAACTAAATTTTTTTAATGATTTTTTAACGATTTCATAAAACAATAATAACTAAACAAAGCCGAGCCATAATCTACTACTGCTACAGTTATATAGTCACACGAAAATCTTTTCATACTGATTTTGTCGTTTTCCACGATTGAATTGAATATAATTTCTAAAAAAACGTAGGAAATTGACTTTTTTTTTGACATGTCGATATCTCTCTGATACAAAATCCCATTTAATGTTATGTCTTCGGTTTAGTCAATGCAGTTAGTTAATGATTAGAGTATCTCTTCCTCTAATCGATAACTACAAATTTCTGTATCAGTCTCTTCGTTTCTCGACTTATGCCTTTCGTTTCCTATTTTCTGTTCCTATTAAAACACGTTATAAATAATAGTAATACGGTAAAACTTCATTTATCCAAACTCCATTATATGAACCATATGAACCAGTTAATGTTGAACCTAAAATGTACGAAATCATAATTGATCAACTTCTGTTATCTACTATCCCTTATTATCCAAACAAATAAGAATAGGATACGGAGAAAGCTAGTGAACTTGCATTATCTGAACTTTGGTTATCCAAATGATCTCGCCCCTTGATGTGTTCGGATAAAGCAAGTATTATCATAGTCTCAGAAATAGCGTCTGTCTCTTTCACGATGCATTAATCTTCGTTTATTCGTAATTGTTTAAGTCTTAAATCGCCAGTCGATTAATTGTTTAGTGACTTGTGTTCAGTAAATGTTTATTGACTTGTATAATTATACATAATTGATTTGTATAATCACTTTCGAAAGCCTCTCGTTAACGTAAATCTCTTTGCATTTGTCCAAGATGTTTTTAATAGTTGAGGCGAATTGATACGCCATGATACAAACTAAGTAACTTTCCATCTTTTGCAAAAAGATTGAAAATCTATGATACGCTGTTCTTTTTCGCTTCTCATCTTATGCTGAGTTACTGCGACATATTCCAAACACGCCTAACGAACACATTAATCAGTTTGCCATTGCTATTCGCAAAAGTGAACATAGTTTGCTAACTGTTTACGAGCAAACTATATTCAGGAACTCGTGAAAAGCAGTGTGGATCCAGCATTAAATCC